AAGAAAGGAAGATATGGTTTTCTTCATTAAAGAAAAACGTTTAGCTCCCAGACTGAAGATGAACATTGGAGGAGAGAGTACTTATTTTCACAAGTGAATACAATTTATTGACTTTCAAATGTTGTAAGTTATTTTATTCATTTTCACTGGGTAAGTGAAAGATCATAATATTTTTATCTACATTGGTGTACAAAAAGCATAATAGCGCTCTCGTCCTGAGCTTCATAAAGAAATACGTGTCATTATAGATTCATAATAAATCATACTGATAACAACAAACCCGAAACAAATGACAGAATCAAAAGTCGCTGTTGACCAAATAAATACAATCATCGATTAGCTGTAATAAAATCAAATAAGAAATTACTTTGGGACCTTCGTAGAAATATTAAATGATACAAATTGGATATACCAATATGAAACCTTTTTTTCCTAGCATCCCTCAGCCAAAGTCTCCTGCTGTAAAAGCGGTACTCGTTTTTTGTGTTTATATCAAACTGTTTTATTAATAACAATAATGATGCAGATACTCCCTTGTGAAACACATCTTTCATTATATCTTTTTCGAAGATTGTTTGCAAGAATCCTTCAAATAATTTCACTTTTCTTACGTTGATTAGTAATAAAATAAGTTTGTGCAGAGAACTAAAACAATTTGTGTTGCCAAAACAAGGAAATAAATTAAAGGTTTGATGTCTGTAACGAATTCAATTCATTTACAAATTTTCAAAATACCTACTCACCCAAATCTGAAAAAATCTCTGTTGTGTAGAATGATGAATATTATTAAGAAGACGAAAGTAAATTTCAATCCGAAGTTTACACGGGAGGAGGGATTAATGTTGAAAAAACACGTTTTTAATTACAACAGGAAAAGTATGATATTTGAAAACTAAACATTTTTCATAGCATAAGTCTGCAAGTTTTGACAACCTTGATCAAAAGTGACCTCCATAACTGTCATCTCCTATGTAACTATGTCATCTGTCTTGCACCTACTCCATTTTATCTCATTTGTATTTTAGTATGTTAATATAAGATATTTATTCATGTATTTTGTCTGATTAATATTTTTAGAATAATGTACTGTGATTGTTAACGAGTACACTAGAAAAAACATGAACCAAATAATCAACGGTGCAACTTCTTCACCACAAAATCGATGAAAAACACATTAACGTCATGGATTTTAAGGAAACTACAAAATCCGGTTCCGCGTACCTCATCTCTTTTCAATAGCTACAAAGTTCATATTGTTTTGTAAACAATAAGAATTACTTTTTTTGCTAAAACAATAAACTTCATGTTTAAATGTTGAAAAAGTTTAATTTAAGATTATACATTTTCAAAAAACATGTGACAGCTACCCTTTCCTGTCTGTTTTTTTTAGTCACTACTATTGTTCTTAAACTAGGGGACATCATTTTCTGAACAAACTCTTGCTTTGGTGAGCAGGAAATATGCAACTGAAAATCTCTTGATGTGGACTTTAACTTCTCGCTGATAAAGAAGACATATCTCCAAACAATTGGCTATTTTCCTGCACTTAAATATCTCCAAGAATGGAAGAAAAGCAGAATAACGGTGAAACATACAGAAATGCGAAAAAAATATTCTACATTTTGAATTTTCTGTTTGACCACGAGCTAAAAATTGTCGTAGGTAATTTCTAGTACATGATTGGTATTTAAGAAGACTATAAAAATGAGGTTACCTTGAGAAGAATTTAAAAATGCGCTGAATACTAATTATATTAATAAAAATCGCACTTTCTGTGCCCATCACTGCCAATGACTGGCGAACGGCAGTATATGATTGGTCAATAGAGAGAAGTGGTAAGAAAAATCGTAGTTAATTTTAATAATTTTCTACATATACTGGGGCATGTGAGATGCATTATTAGCCTCCATTGGTGTTAAGTTCATGGGTGGAATACTGTGATAGTGAATTAAATTAAAAAGTGTAAGACAGAAAATATAGCAAGAAGCAAAACAACGACAAAGCCAAGGAATGAAAGACATATGGACAAAGGAAAAAACTCTCTAACAGAAGAAACGCTCACAATGAAAGCTGCAGATTATTTTAGTTCACTTTCTTGTACATAGTGTATTCATTCAAAGCGAAAACAACAGTTTTAGGTGATTCAGGGTATCAATGGTTGCCACTGCGAGGGTTCGTGTCCCAGCGGTGCCTGGATTATCGATATTACCTACATTACTAAGTCGAATTCACCCGATCAACACCAGACGAATGCAGGAGCAGTACTCTAACAAACGGGCCACGGATTGCGCGCAATGTTTTTCTTGCTCGTTATTGTTTTCCTTCCACTTCCTTGTCCTATCCTCACCCCTTACGTACTCACACGTATACTTATATGCACTACACTACCATAAATGTCCGGATCTTGCCCCGCTGATGGGGGATACCTGGTTAGGAAAAAACCCGCTATCCGACGTGAGGATCGGCGCCTGATTTCACCATCCAGTGGGGGAGATCACTACCACCACCACCACCTCACAAGCAAAACATTCACTACACTTACGGGACTAATGACCTTAGCCGTTGACACGTAAACAATCAAGGGAATACAATGACTCTATGAATGAATAAATGGCATGAAATGGAAGAAACATTAATTACAAATTGATTGAAGGTCAAATAAAAAAAAGTTGTGTAAGTGTTTTACGATTAGCGACACAGCTGTCATTCAGACGTTCTCTTATCAGCAAGGGGCGTCGGATGGGAGAAGGATGTGTTATCACTTTCCGCCGCTTTCGTGGCGCTTCGTATAATCTCTACTGCAAATAACCACTTCCACAAGCCACCATCCGTAATTGAAAGTTGAGGTGGGACGTGTATTAAAATGAGGGATATATAATTTGATTTATTTTGGTCGAGAAAACAGTAAAAACTGTTTATAAAGTGTAGGGGAGATGGGTATTGTGAGTACATTTTCTTCAGCCTCAGAATCTCTTCCTCACTATTTTGCTACACACAGATGAATGATTAATAAATGTATCAACAATGCAATCTCAGTAACATTTGAATGCTAGACACATTCGCTCCCGAAATATAAAAAAACCTTTTTAAAAACGAAGTACAGATTGAATTTGCTAATAAAATAGCAATCGATAGTCCCGCTCTACTCCTACCACAACTAGCAAGAGGAGAGCGCAACAGAATGTACGCAAAATAAAGCTACATACGTGTACGAAGACGCACCAATAATATATCTAGGGGTGCTACTTTCAGTGAAGTGTCCAGCTGACTTGATGATTTTTTTTATAAAGAAATTTCCACTTAAGCTATCGGGAGAGGTAGCTTAGGGAATAAACGTATCAACTGATGTCACTGCAGTGCCTCCGACAAGAAGGTCCTGGGTTCGAGTCCCGACGGCGGCAGCATTTTCGACGCTAGCCCGTCAGCTAGGTCGAATTCAGTCGCTGGCTGGAGGAGAATTATAGCGGCCGGCTGCTCTGATTGTTAGTTTTCCGTGGTTTGTGTGATCAACATTCGGCGAATGCTGGAGCAGTACCCTATCAGACGGGACACGGACCATGCGCGATCTTTCCTTCCTCTTTCTCGCACCCTCTCACCTTACACGAACACTTACACTTAAATGCACCTCACTGAAACACATACAAAGAGACTCGTCGGGGTCTTTGAGCTTCTCCCGGCTGGAGCAGTGCCCAGCAGGTGGGAAATACCTGGTTTGGGAAAACCCCGCTAGCCAACGGGCAGGCTGGCACCGGATCTCACCATCCAACGAGGGAAGATCACCGGCATTCCCATTGAAACAACATGCACTACACTTATGGAACCAACGACTTTAGCAGTTGACATGCCTTAAATCAGAAATCGATTAATAAATATATTTCTGTTGTTATTGTTATTCTCATTCTTGCAGTTGCTGTTTTATTTTTGTTTTTATTGTTATTGTTGTCGTATATGTTCTCCATTATTGATTTCGCTGCTGCTATTAATTTTTTTTATTTTTATTGTTATTGTTATTTTTGAATACAACCTGCACTATATTTATCGAACCAATGACCTTAGCAGTTGGCATGCATTAAATCAGAAGTTAATGAATCAATTTATTTCTATTGTTATTGTTGTCGATATTGTTATTCACATTCTTGCAGTTACTGTTTTAGTCTTGTCTTTATTGGTATTGTTGCTGTTGTATATGTTCGCCATTATTGTTATTGTTTTCATTGCTACTATTATTTTTTATTGTTGTCATTATAATTGTTGACTATTATAATTCTGGACGTAGCTATTATTTTGGTATTTGGTAGTTAGTATTGTTGTCGTTGGTATTATTTTTGTAGTCGTTATTGTTATTACGTTAATCGAAATCGATTAATAAATATATTTCTGTTGTTATTGTTATTCTCATTCTTGCAGTTGCTGTTTTATTTTTGTTTTTATTGTTATTGTTGTCGTATATGTTCTCCATTATTGTTTTCGCTGCTGATATTAATTTATTTTTATTTTTATTGTTGTTATTCTTATTTTTGACTATTATAATTCTGGTGGTAGCTAATACTACTGTTGTCGTAGCTCTTATTTACGTAGTTATTGTTGCCGCTATTTCTGTTACCTTTGATGTACAATACAACCTGCACTATGTTTATCGAACCAATGACCTTAGCAGTTGGCATGCATTAAATCAGAAATTAATGAATAAATTTATTTTTATTGTTATTGTTGTCGTTATTGTTATTCACATTCTTGCAGTTACTGTTTTAGTTTTGTCTTTATTGGTATTGTTGCTGTTGTATATGTTTGTTATTGTTTTCACTGCTACTATTATTTTTTATTGTTGTCGTTATTATTGTTATTATTATTACAATTATTATTATTATTATTATTATTATTATTATTGTTGACTATTATAATTCTGGTCGTGGCTATTATTTTTGTAGTTAGTATCGTTGTCGTTGGAGTTCATTTTGTAGTCGTTATTGTTACTACGTTTGGTGTTGCAGCGCTCTGCGATGGGCAACGCGGAGGGCGCGCACGCGCAGGCGCGCGAGGAGGCGGGCGGGCTGGCGGCCGGGGAGAACCTGCGTGTGGTGCTGCTGCGCATGATCCACGAGGCGGCGCAGCAGATGGTGGAGGAGGCCGCCGGCGCCGCCGAGGAGCGCGCGCGCCGCAGGGCGGCGACAGGCGGACACGCCGGCGCCAGGCAAGACGGACGAGGCAGCTCTCGCTAGGTGCGCCGCCACTCGCTACGGAATGCAATGCACTGTGCCATAAATAATAATAATAATAATAATAATAATAAATAATTAATAATAATAATAATAAGATATGATGCATATGATGAATGATGATGATGATGAATGATGATGATCGATGATGATTGATGATGATGATGATGATGATGAGATGTGATGATGATGATGATGAAATAATGATGATGATAATAATAATTCCATAATAAATAATAATAATGATAATAATAATAATAATATTAATTATTATATTATTATATTAATTATTATTATATTAGGGTAGGGTAGGATTAAGGATCTCTGGTCGAAGAAACTCCAGTCCTAATCCCACAAAGGTTGAAAACATGCACACAAGATATGGAACGGTCAAAAGGGTACCATTGAAATACCTGGGTGACGTTCATCGAACCAAACCGGATCCGAAAGAATTTCGACAACAAGACATCTTCTGCGTCACTTCGCTTCTACGAACGTATTCTAAGAAAGCACTCTTGTCCGGACTTATACTCTTCAAAACCTAGTACTATACCATATGGAAAATTGTACACGATGGTCATAGGAAAAATAGCCACAAAATATGTCTCGTCTATTGAGTAAGATTACTGTCGATCAGAACTCTCTCAGGCAGATGCTTGCTGTAGACAGCGCTATGACAGAGACCACACTCATCACAGGCTCAGCAAGTAATATGTCTGTGGACCAGATATCAATTAATGACGTCACGCAAAGCAGCAAAGAGTGTCATTCAGAAAGAAAATGATAAGCTGGCCCTAGTTTAAGAACAAATGAGAGACACACTACAACGTAGCTCGCACTAGAATGGAATACACGAGACTCAGACAAATGGACTTGTGATCGCTCACCACTGAAATTAGTTTTATTGAAACATGTTAATCTCTGACATTGAAGTACCGACTCATCTTGCGCAAAAAACGAACGATCACTGACATAGAAGTATTCTTGTTCTCTGAGACAATAAGAGAACTAGTACACATCACATTATATTCGTTTCAGAAACTCAACTTAAATGAGACATATTTGTAGATGAACTATGATAGTGCTCGTCAGGTACTTCAGAGAACAGCTACCAGAGGGTATTTGATAAAGTAAAACACAAATGACACATTCGCCACTATGACGCTGTAACTCGCTCGTGACATTTAACTCGAATCGTTTTGTTCAGGCAGAAACGACATTGTCTAGCACAAAAGCTCGAGTTAAGGTGGAAATGTTTAGATTCATGTATGTATTACAACCTATAACGTGACCTATACTCGTTACAGCACCTCGGCATATTGGTACTGTAAGAAACGATAATGAGACATACTCTCCACAGATGAGAATATTGAGCAAATATACACGAGATGAAATACAAAAATTAATTCAGAATTACTCTAAAAACACAAGTCAATTATTCTTAGCATTATAGCGTCTATACCACTATATGAGTTATGGGAAAAATACGATAATAATTGATAATAATAAATAATGATGCATAATAATAATAAAAATGAGAGTAAAGTAGGAATGCAATATAGACATATGATTTGACAATAATAATAATAATAAAATGGGAAACTATCCAAAGCGTTTGAGCAAGTATGGGAGAGTAGACCAGCCACTGTACATCGGAGTTGTGAATCATTTTGAAAGAGAAGGTTCGATTCGATATAGAAGACGGGCAGCAAGAGGACCTATTTGTGGTATATGTAAAAAGATGATACAGTGGGTTACACTATACTCGCATATCTCTCTCTCGTCTCGCTCGATTATATTAAAATATAGTAGCGCCGTCAGGAATGTTGTCTCTAGAACAGTTAAGTGTAGCCTACTCGTACGCTACATCTCTACGGTTGAAAAGTGGTATGGTTTCACACATATCACTCTACACAGACAGATTCATCTTGGTCGTGCACATAGATAGATGCGGTCGCGCTACGAGATATAATTACGTTATCATTGAATAGAAATACCATTGCAGTGAGGATTTTGTAGTATTACGCTGATTGATTAACTCAGACCATTAACAACCTTTATCACTTATCATATATAGGGTCCAATTATATATGTAGAGATGCAGAAAGCAAGTACCAAATGTAGTTATTAAGTTCTTGCACAAAACTTATTTATTACTAATTCAAGCGTAAGAAAAGTGAATCTTGAGGAGATTTCCGAACAATCCCTATTGAGAGAATAGAATTTCGTAATGAAAGATGTGTTTCACACAGAGAGCTGTACTAGTTGCTGGGCGAATACTCTATGCTGATTTAAACCTCTATATAGAGAAACGACTGTGACTATTAAATGATATTTAAGATCAAAAAATCGAAGTAGCTCATCACGCGCGGTGCACTTCCGCGCTAAGAACGCCGCACTTCACACCTGTCGCGCCCGCACTGGTGTTTTCTTTACACAGCAAGATGGGGATGCACCAGTGAATTGTGTATTAGGCTGAGTGGATGTCTAGGAAAAAGTGTGCTTTAAAGGATAGGAGGATTATATTTTGATCTATAAACATGTTCTGGTTTGAGTAGTTTAAGGATATATCTACGAAGGTCCTGAAAAGTTAGATCAGTTTAATATCTATCTACAGACTCTCTCACCAACACGCGTAGTGGGAATTCCTGTGTTGTAAGTGGTGGATAAATTACTCGAATCTTCGAGCCTGGCGAGACACGTCAGACTGGTGCATTATAGTATATACGCAATGATCATATCTATAGCTAACATTAGAGAGTAACATTGATAATTAAGTTATATTATATCAGCTCAATATGAATACTATAATATCTTTAACATTAATCAATATGAAATAATAAATATCTCATCATATCTAAAAGTAATCACTCTTGTAATTCTTATATTATTCTTCTTCTATTTGATATAGATGTTATACGGGCAGTCAGTACTGAGATTAAGAAGGATCTTTATTTCTTTGAATCACACTGGCTCAGCTACAAGTTACAGTACTATATTAATAAACTTTACATTATACGATCTTATCTCATATCTTCACTGTCACACTCAAAAAGATGTTATATATATGTAAACTAGCAATATATTAAATAACATCGATATCTCGCATTAACAGTGTGATCTGATAACAAGTTTAATATCATGTATTTCTGTTGCTGAAAATTAAGTACTCCTGCAGCTATCAACTCAAATTAGTATCTAACATGATTTTTTATTTTAGTCACATGCGGATCGCTAGCGTTTTTCATTTTAAGTTATACGATCCAATAAACGACCATCACTCACTCTCCTTTCTTTAGTCATCCACTCTCAGTTTTGTTTATCCGCATATGTAGTATTTTATACGATACTCAATTAGGGTCATATCCATTTACACAACTTTAAATTCTCTACGACACAGTACACTTCCCATCATGGACGAGACTGATACACTAATGATTGCTGAACACGCTATAGCACATCATGCTACGATGAACTTACTGTCAAAGATAACTTTACTTGTATAGATATGTATTTTGGCACAGAAGTTTAATTTGAGTCTCTAGTTCTCTAGCTTTAAAAGAGCTGCTAGCATTGTCTGATATCACACATCATATCGCTACATTTACTAATTATTTCGATTCTGTTATAGTTAGTTCATAACAAATTATTTGGTACGACATTCTTAACGGTAAATGTACCACCGTCATTATTGAGAGGTGTCTATTAATTTCTTCGAACGAATTCATACTTGGTATACCTCTGTCACAGAAGCAACTCATATGATATTCATGTTGTAGACGTTAGAACTGAGCACATTTATTGGGAACTCCCAGTATACATATATATCCTATATATTATTGATTATAATATTATACCATACTACTTTGCATACATGATTAAGTATATATCTGTCTCTCAGTAGTCGATAAATAAAACAGTGGCAGCAGACGATACTCATAGTCGCCATTAGAGTGTAGACGAGTATCCTGCTGTAGCTCACGACTAGTTCTGCAAGCACTACATGATAGAGCATACTAACGTAGACGATGCACTGGTGAGCTACCCTCGGGCGAGTCACGCACTGCGCCCTATGAGGGCGCGGGTACGGCGGCGGCGTCGCGTGTAAACCGTTTCGCTGTATCGACTGTTATACTCCGGCAGGGCGCCGGGCGGCATTCCCCCCAGTTCGCTGCGGCTTCGACACCTGCATGGATCTGCCGGGTGGGAGGTATTTTTACGGTGCGAGGACGACAGAGGCCTTAGTAACGACCTCGCTCATCGCGCAGAGGAGAAAGTAAACCGCCGGCTTGTCCTCGCTAGGTAGGATGCGGGTGTTAAATCTACGACCCTCAAGCACTAAATGAAGTTCGTGAGCTAAACATAGTAAATGCACCTGTTTGGCTGGGCGCCCCAGAATAGCCTCCTTTCTTCCGGTAGTTGGGTAAGGGAGGCGCTGAGAAAAGAATTGCGTTGGTCAGACTGCGGCGTGGCGCGCGCTGCCGGTTGGCCCTCGGGGCCGTAGCGGCTTGGCAGCACACGTACAGGTCACTCACGCTAACAGACGATGCCCGCAAAGATTGAGCTACAGCTTCCCATTCACACTTAATGGAATGTGAGTAATCGGCGCACGTAAAATCACAGCGGCCTTCTGCAAATTCATTCAAATATTCAATACCTTGTTCATCATCATCCTCCCTCTAGCGCATGCGAATAATATACCTGTCGGAGACAGAAAAGTTGGGCAAAGTCATTTATTGATGGACTACAATGACAATGAGAAATAGGACCCCACTTCCGACTACCCCTCCTTCTATTATCAGTTTGTTTTGCTCCACCAATTGCCAGTGTTTCTGGTTAAAAGTAGAGGGTTTTGACCAGCAAATGGAGAGGGACACTCTCCCTGTTACTCCCCTGGATGAAACGAAGCATCCTTCTCACACGAGTAACGGCTAATTGACAGTACACCGCTCAGTGTCACACAGTCTTGACCACGCCTGTCATAACTTCCGGTTCCCCTCCCCCTCACCCGCTGTAACCATTTATAAGAACATCCTGAACTCTTCATCCATCTTACGTAGAATCGGGGCGTTTGACCTTAGCCTTTACGCTGTCCTTTTAGCTACACTTACCAAGGTGCTCTGGCTCTATTCAGGCTTTGAACGGGCCGTTCAACCCAATGCTCTTTACTCCTCAGCTTCTTCCGCCTTAGCGTGGTTGTCGGTAAAAAGGTTTAGGCATGGTCAGCCGTGCGCCGTGTGCGATAGAAACTCATTTGACAATGCTAAGTTTCACCGCACGGATTCGCTGGGTAGCAGGAGCGCATCAATGTCTCGGTGACGCTCTGACACTAAGAGAGAACGCAACGTTCGACAATAACACGCCTTCAAAGGAACTTTTAATACGCGCTAACGGCCCATTAAGAAATGGAATCTGTTTTGACTCGTGTTCAGCGAAGAACATTCCGCACCACGCTGAATTGTCGTCTCGTTTTGGAGAGAAATCTTCGGAGGCGGCCAGTTTAA